GAGAGATTTTCACGAAAAAATGCCTGCAACAGCAGACTTTCGACTCAGACCTCAAAGGGGCGTGGCATTATAACCACGTGACATTTACTCCGATCGCCAAAAATTTTATGTTATATTGTAGATTGATCTATATGTTATCCATTCTATGTGTTAGACTTACGATAAAAGTAAAGGTGGAGATACCAGAGAGCTTCAAAGTAGGATGGTACCCCCCAAAAAAAACTGGGTCGAGTCACCTTAAATAACAAAACTAGACCATTATATTTGGAATTCAATTGTTACGAAGATACCTTTTTTTAGCTATTTGAAAAGATAGCAAGTAGCTTGATATAACTCCGTTTTATGTACAGTGGAATGCCTTCTTTGCAGGTGGAATGTCCCATGTGTCGACTGCCAATCATCTACAACCTCACACAACTACAAAGTTTTGCTTCAAAAGAGCTTAAGGAAGAGGAGGTCTGTTGTTTTTCACTTGTGAAATGTGTCCAAGAATGTGGCTGTTGCTTACAAAACTATGCACGAATGGTTGTCTTTTGTATCTTTGCTTGTATTAACACCAAAGGAGAATTCATTATTTATTCAAATCCTCGAAGAACGATCAACCCGTATATTATCACCCCTTTGGATGTTTTGTATTTTATCCTCAGACTTTCACCCAGCTGTTTCAAGTATGTTTTATTCTTCCAGATTGTTTACAAACCAAGTGAAGAAATAAGAAAACTTCAAAAGAAGATGGCGTCTCTGTTTGAGAAGCAAAAGAAGAAAGGGGGGATAATTAACATCGAACAAGAAAGAAACAGATTTTTAATCGACATAACATCGGTATGTGGTAAAGCCTGTCAGAGGCAGACACAAGATCAAACACCTTTTCCAGTAAATTCATGTTAAAGTCTAGTCACAGATAGTGATACGTGTAGCCGGTACAGAGCGAGGGAAATACCAACGGACCAATCAGAATTCGAAGCAAATACATATAGCCGATGCTAAGCGCGGGAAATACCAATGGACCAATCCGAATTCGAAGCACTTGCACTAAGCTTGGCCACTTTATGGTTTGGTTTTTCGTTTTCATTGCATGCAAAACCAATCCAATCGCGAAATTATTGAGGAAACTAGAACAGCAAACAAACTAATGTCTCTTACAAGGCGGAAGCCTCAGTTTGAGTAGCCATAGTTTTTTTCTTTTAATTGCGGAGCGCAAAGTGAAAAACTTTTCAACATGTGAAATATTCTGCTTCACGTTCGGCTAAATAATAGAGACTTAAAGATCGAACGACGCGACGGTAACGAGAACGTTACTTAAAAGGTGAATTTGCCTTTTTATAGTGTTTATCGCAATTATTCCTACCCATTTACTTTGTCAAATGTACGCGAATCCGCCCGAAGTTCAATTCCAAGGGATCATATCTAAGCTCAGAAATTAAAATAAAATTTCGTCGTTGCTTGTTTACGTCGTAGTCGTGCTAAAACGGCAAAGAAATGTTCAAAAAGCGTGATGCACTTGCGTAGTTGTGGTTTTGCTTAGACCGATTGTTTTTAGACGTTCTCGTTGTCGTTGGGTCATTGGATCTTAGGGCCTCTTTACATGGAGGTGGGGGACCCCGGGCAGGTGAGGTAACCCGCTTAAGTGGGGTAACCCGCCTGTCCATCACTTTTACATGACAGGTGAGGTGATCATATGAGAGATTATATGGACAGGCGGGTTATGTAACCCCATCTACCTGGGGTCCCCCAACTCAATGTAAACAGGCCCTAAAAGTCCCTAATGCCTGTTGTACTGACTACTGGCTGAGACCGGATGTTACAACGATNGGGGGGGCTACGCTTGAAAACTCGTGCCGTAGACGCGAGTTTGTTGGAAGGTGGGGTTTTGGGAGAACCCTCCCCCGGAACATTTTGAAATCTATAGGCTCGGAAATGGAATTTTCAACACTCTCAATGAGATATTTCTCCAAAAAAAACTCAATCTGGATAAGGTGTAAAATGACAGGTACTTCTAGCGCTTAGAGTATGTACCAGGAGGCGAAGAAAGAAAAGTTGGGGGGGGGGGGCTACCCCCGGCTCCTCCGTCCCTGGTTAAGGGCCCAGTTGAAGATATTATGAAACAAAAGAAAATAGAGTGATTTTACTGAAGTTGATAACATACTACGCACTGTGTACTAATTCCATTGTCTTCTTTCGCATTCACGGATTAAGTAAAGTCACAATAAATAGCGTTAAGTTTTTGTTGTCAAAGATTATAGAGTATCACATGCACGAATTAATTTAAATCATTTCTGTTGATTGATAGGTCCGTCAAGAGGAAACTTTGCCTGAGAGTGAACCCGACCTTGAAACCGTTACAGACACTGTAAAAACAGATTCCGTTGTAGATCCCTGTACAAATAAAGCCCCTAAACGACAGAACGGAACTAAGGAATATAACGCAGAAGGTAAGCATGTTCGCAGACGAAAACCCGAAAGGAGAGAGAAGAGAGACTTTTCTAAAGATACGCGACCTTCTAGAGGGCATCGGCACCCCGCCTTTGACAGAGCTGGGAATAAATCAGAGGAAGAGAAATTTAGACAAGATAAACAAACAATAGAGAAAAGACACGCAGCAGTAGATAGAAGACCGTGGAGAACAGAGAAGAAGGACGAAGGAAAAGGAGCTATGAAGAGTTCTGAAGAACAAGGCAGAGCCGGTGCCGGTGAAAAAATGGTCAGCACGAAGTCGGGAGTAGAACTAGAGAGAAGAACAGAGAAGAAGGACGAAGAGAAAGTGGCCATTAAAAGTTCTGAAGAACATCGCAAAGATGCTGGTGAAAATCAGGTTAAGGCTAAGTCGGAAGTAGAACCAAAGAGAAGAACAGAGAAGAAGGACGAAGGCATAGTGGCCGTTAAAAGTTTTGAAGAACAAAGCAAACATGCCGGTGAAAAACAGGTAAAGGTTAAATCGGGAGTAGAACCAGACACAAAGACTTCTGTTGCAGACGTCTCTGAGAAGGTTGCAAGTGCAGAGAACGTTTCTTCTAAAAAGGACAATAACAGTTGTTGGCAAAATTCAAATGGCGAAAGAGCTAGGTCTGCTAAAAAAAGACGAGGGAGGTCTGGAAAGGGAAGGACATTGGTTGCAGAAAAAAGTGAAGTACGGAGTGGCAGCAGAGACTTGAATGAGAAAACAACTTGTTCGGGTGACGACGGGGAGCAACAAACTGCTAAACCTCAGCCATCAAGAAACGTTAAGTCTTATCTTAAGACAAATGCTTGCGGTAAAGCTGATGCAACTGTAAACTCTAAGCAAGGGACAAGCGTTAGAGAGGACATCGCTTGTAAGCCTCCCCCTGGTTTTGAGACTAAAATGGTGGATAATCGGGGGTCCGAACAATTAAGAAATGATCCTAGAAGACCCCCTCCAGGTTTTGAAACACATCTCTTACGACCTAGACCTCCACCTGGACTTGGCAGTCCAGTGGAAGGCCGGACAGCACAGAGCACAAGTCAATCAGTCATAAGCTGACCAATGTTTAAGGAAATTTGTGAGATGCTCGTGAGCAGGGATCACGTGTCAAGGTCCTTGTTACAATACACTGATTTAGTTCCTCATGTCTGCAGCCGCTATTTTCTTTTTCCCGGCAGGCAAGTATTCAAATCATTATCCAAACCCGAAAATCGGTATTGAAAAATTGTTGAACTCTTGTAATCGTAGTTTCCCTTTCATTACGAGGCGCGTGTTTTTCTTCGTGTCTGAGACGATAGCGTGAAAAAAAATGAAGAGCAACTACCAAAAGCAATTGAAAAGTTCCAAGTTTCCGATTATTTGCTGCGCAGATGGCTTGAGCGGGAAATCTTTAGTAAAGAACTTCAGTGATAACGTAATTTGAGAAGACCAAATAACAGGGCAAATAAAAGTATGTAAAGCTTTCTGGGTACTCTTAGTGCGCACTTCTGAACCAAATCAACAAACCCTTTTTTGTTCGACAGAGATAAAGTCATGGATAGCAATAGCCAACAATCCTTTATTTCGAAACAAAATATTTAAAATGCACACACAGTCTATGCCCTAAAAGTTACACTCGCTTCTATTTCCTATTGTCCCACGAGTTATGAAAAACATGCAGCCCGAGTACTCCGTTTAATTCTAAAAGCGTTTTTAAGCAAAGAGCCAAATTTTTTGAAGGCTTGTCTCTGAGGCCCTTTCTCATGCTGGTTTCCCACTATGCTGTCCGTTGTAAGACAACGCAGCTGGCGCTGACTATATCCCATCACTGGAAGGCGTAGAGAATTTTGACTTATTTGCGGCTGGTCACCCATCCAGTTTCTACCCCGCCCTAAAGGACTTAACTTGGGCGGTCCTCAGCTGTTTATCATCCTCAAGTTTACACGAGGCTTTGCGAGACACATATTTAATAATACGCTAAACCAGCTCTCTTAAAGGGAGGTCTGAAGTAAAAAATAACGTATGAAAGGTTGGACATCTTGACTTACTTTGAAAAAGACGCGAGAAATAATTCAGAAGTGACCTATTGTGTTGACTTGTTGGGTTGAATGTTTTTCATGTTCGAGCGATGACTGAAGCTTCATGTTTCCCATAGCTCATGTTCCCTTCTTGAGATGATCAAAACAAGACCGCTTAGCTGACTTAAAAGTACCCTAAGAATTTAAACTACTGCAAAGCGAAGAGGACCAACAACATTGACAAAAACAGGCCAACGGTCATCCTGCTGACAGATGCGCCTCCTGTTGGCATGGTAGTGGAGCCAGCAGCTGGCGGCGGATTAGTTGCAACAGAAGTGGCCTTGAAACTAGCCTTGACGGTTCGGCCATTGAGTGGCATTGGTGGACGATAATTTTTCGTGAGCGGTTTACCGTCCCGGTTTTCGAGTTTACGAAGGAGATCAATCTGAAAGGAGAAATCAATGTTAACTGAAAGAGAGTTATTTTCGAAGACCGTTCCTGTGCCCTCACTAAAACGGGAAAAAAAGTGTTTCGTTTACAACTTTGATAGAGTACTAGCATTAATTAACAACAAGGCAAAACTCATTCCAGTAAAACTACTCGGCTTCTCAGGGCTGTTACAATCAAAAGCAAATAGAAGATCGTTTACGACAGGAAATGATATGGGATGATATTGTGAGTAGTTCCAGTAGCAGGTTTATGGTCGGTTATATGCTTCTGGTAGTTCTTAGAGACTAGTAATACGCGCTCTAAGAAATCTAGCCGGCTCGTAGCTACTGAATGGCGTGGAAATTTCTGAAAGAATTATACATGTAGTCTCCCTGTGCTGGTAAGGGAAGCCGTGCCGCTTGCACCGCGTGCAAACTGAACTGTTGGATTGCAAATAATCTCGTTTGTGCGTGTCATCCTATAGAACGTTTTCAATTACGTGGCCAGCATTTCTGATAATTTATCGGAACAAAAGAAGAAAAGTTCAACTCCCAGAGGATTTCCTTGTTACACCAACATGGCCGGGATTTCATTGTCTTGGAACACCAATGTGGCCGCCGCGGCGTCAAGTGAAAACGCTCCTTAGTGAACGAGTAATCAGTTGCGTGCCAAGCAAAATTTAGGCGTTTCTATTTAGCGAGTAGGAAACGAGAATCTGCGTGTACACTTGCCATACCCTGCAGACTTACTGGCAGGCTTAAAGACAAGTTGGGAATGCTGAAGCGGCCGAAAACGTCTCCCCACCCTCCCTCCCCCTTCCCTGGAATGGCCATCACGCAAGCGTAAGTTGTTTACTCTACCTGACGCTTGGATATTTTGACAGCATCCTTGAAAGCAGTCCAGGTGACGACCTCATTGCACGTAGGGGTGGTAAGAGAGCCGTTGTAGCGGTAGTAGTCGCTCTTCGAGGCTGGCAGCATGTTGTTAAAGACTGCAAAATCTGAGGCCGGTACAACAACAGATGATTGGTCTGTGAAAACAAATCACACGAAGAGATTTGATCAAAAACACGAGGTCACAAATTTTTGACTGAAATTGAGTATAGGTTCAAACTCTTGTGGTTTGATATCCGGCAAGGTTCTTTTCCTTTAGACAGGGCGTAGTCAAGGAGTGTAATAATTGGATATCGCTCCGTGTAAAGGAATCCAAAACAGTCTTGGATCCTGGATTCCACGCTAAGGATTACGGATTCCAGGATCTGGATTCTAGTCTTTGTCAGTGAAACTTGGATTCTGGATTCAAAACGTTAGTGAGACTCCGGACTCCTTGAGCTGTATTCCGGATTCCAAAATCCAGTACTTCAGATTTCACAAGTTATAATATTCCGGAATCCAGATTCCCTTAAATGAGGCAATGGATATGGTTGTCTTGAGAACAGTGCGAAGGATAAAGGGCAGTTTGGGTGACATCGGCATTGTGAAGTGCTTCCAAAATTTTACGCGAACCAAATATTAGTTTGGGATCATTTCCTAAGTGTACGTAGTGCCGTGGTGAAGTCTGGAATAGGGTAAAGAGTTTTGGTTAATGCGATCAGGTCTTAAACATTGTCGGGCAAAATTATTGTTGGTCTGAAATAGGGATGAGGTAAATTTCTCGAGAAACATTCATGGGTTGCAGCAGTAGGCAAAACTTACATTTAGTAACATTTGCGGCAAAGTCCAAAAACGACCACGCAGTGTTATCGTCGTCTCCTTCAACCTGAAACAGATGTAAAGGGAAAAAATCGCTGAAAAGTGACAAACGGCGATATCACGTGGAATTGCGAATGGTAAATTCTCTCGCTCAGAAGACAATAGTCAATTTCGTGTTTTAGGCACCTTGGTCCAAGTAATGGTAACACGTTAGACTTTTCCCGCCCCTTTCGCTGTGGTTACGTAGTTACCGCTAATCCGCTGGCCATCCTTTAGGCCCCTATCCCTCCCCCCCCATTCTCCTTTAGACCACCACCCCTAAGGCTAGGTAGACGGCGTAGCAGTCTCTGCCATTTCCTTTTAGGCGCCGTCCACACTACCCTGGGGCCCGTTTCTCGAAAGTCCCGGTAAATTTGCGGGCCCGGAAAGTTGTTTTGTGTTTCCCGTGTTTGCATCAACGATCAAAGCTTCAATAATTTTGAAAATGATACAATAAAACTATCAGTGAACGAAGCTGAATTGACTGGTTTTCGAGCCTTGAACTGTGCTACCATTCAACAGCTTTTTATTTCAAAATTTGCTTTCGGGCCTGAAAAGTTACCGTGCCTTTCGAGAAACGGGCCCCTGCACATTGTGGAAACCGCGTAGTTTGTTACCCGGATTCGTATGGACGGGTTTCTAAGCCTTTCTTGAGATCGCTTTGAAAACGAAACGGTTTTGGCGAGCGGATTCACTGGTTTCGTGTGGACGGAAGGTCTATTTGTGTGAAAAAAAAAAGCGGTTTCAAAAATATCTAGATTAATAATAATAATAATAATAATAATAATAATAATAATAATAATAATAATAATAATAATAATAATAATAATAACAAATACTTTATTTATACTGCAAAAAATAGGTCAGCTGAGTATGAAAAAAACAGCTGGTATAAACCTATGTGCAGTAATAAAAAAAAAAAGGGCCAAGTGCCAAGTTACTTTGGCGCGTTCTAAATTTTACGATTTTTGCGATTTTCTGCGTGATAGGCACAATAAATAATTAAATAGATAAGGGAAATAACTGCCGCAAAAATTTAATCACCGAAGATCAACTCCACTATCAAAATTTTCTTGTTCACAAACATCGCAATTTACTAGAAATGTCATTGTTATAAGAGAAGCTTACACAGACTGCACACGGGCAGTACATTTGTAGCTGTAATTGGATTACACAACCGTAAATACTTAGAACGATATCGGAATTTCATTTTTGAATGATACCCTTCCGTCCATGTTCAACTGAGTTCTAATAAGCGAAAGAATTTTGGATGCAAATGCGTAAAATAGCAGTGATTGGCTCCCAGTGAGAAAATCCAGAGTGGACCCGTCTCAAAAAAAAATTGTTCCCAGTTGAATTTGTGTAGCCTTGATGACCCCTTGTCGTGCCTAATAAACCATTTAACCCTTTAAGCCCTAAGAGTGATCAGCATGAAATTTCTCTTTTTTATATTACTTCTTCAGAAATGCTTTAGAAAACAGAGTGGTGATAAGAATTGAGTACATGATCAGGGTCTGATTGATATTTCAGCAAGTTCTCCCCTCTACTTCTGTTGAAAAAGTATAAGGACAGTAAATGAGAATTCCATTTTTGATATTAGGGTTTGGGTTCTTAAAGTAAAATGTTACCTCGATAAAGACACCAAGAACGGCGAGACCATCTGGATTTTTGAGTGCTTCAGTAACATTGGGATAGTTTGTATTGCAGCTTACAAATTGTATCTGAACAGAAAGAACAAAAACATGCAAGTTTAGCCAACGTGAACCGGGGGCATACTCAAGAGAGTTTTTTTTCACGGGGAGGCTCCGCCACCGAGGTCCAACCCCTCACCTTTTGTAAACCATTTTTGACGGGAAGGTACTCATTTCGGATATACCTTCCATTGAAAAATCAGTGGTACCCCTTTCACACACCTAGGTTAAAGCTTTGCATCCCAAATCTGCTGTAAATGCACTTTCTGTTAAATATGAAACAAACAGAAAACCAGGAAGTGTTCTTGTTTTTCTCACATCCATAAAATGCGCCCGTTAGTCCTGTTTGGTCTTTTCACAGACCGCAATGACAGTTTTCCCTACCCTTTCATATATTTCAACTAGTAAACCTCGTACCTGAAGCCTGATAAAGATACCCCTTTCGGGCAGAGCTGATGACAGCGTTCGCACATGCACTGGTTGTCTCCCCTTGACTCGGCTAGGCGAGCCGAAGTGTTGTATGGAGCAAAACTGGCCAGGCTAAGACGGTGACCCTACCAACGAAAAAGGGTGGCCCAGCTAGGCGGGTCACCCCTCTAGCGGAGCCCACGTTTTCTTACTCATGCAAACGGTAGAAGGTTGCGTGCACCTCTCACCTCAGCTGGATAAGACTTTCCGTTCATCTCGTGTTCAGACCCCTTGTCTTCATTTGGTCCCCAGTGGAGGTGGAATTGAATGGTTTTAAAGCTACCGACAAGACCTCCTCCGCTTACAACGTAATCACTTCCAGTCAATGACACTACCATGCCGTGTCCATTGTTTGAAACGGTGAAGTTGAGGGGTAATTTTTTGTCGTAATTCTTTAACTCAAATTCACCCAAGGCTTTGTCATAAACAGCTTCAGCACTTTTGATGTCGATTGGAGATTGCCTTTTTCCATTCTTGCAGTCGCCCGGCCAATTAGCAGGGCCTGGTACGTACAAAAGTATTTGAGGGTATTTATAGCTCTTGAAAAATAAACTGATAAAAAACAAATAGCACGGCAAAGTGCACTGCTGAAATCGACGTCAGACGGTGACAGTGCAATGTTATTTGCTGTTGACCACTGATTAAACGTGACTTAAGCGAAATGCAAGCGTAAATAGAGTCTCTTTTAAGCTCCAGTGTGTAGAGCGATTTGATCTAAGGTTCGGAAAAAATTGTGGACAACCTTGTCCTAACTAGTAACACTAGCCTGCGAACAGGCTCCTAGGTGCAGCGGGGCGGGAAAGAAAATCGACGCGCGAAGCGAGCCGAGCGTGGCCTGAGGGAGAAAAAAGGCACCTAACGTGCCTTTTTTCTCCCAGGTCCCGCTCCACTTTGGAGCCTGTTTGCAGGCTATTAATTTACATAAGAAATGGATGGAATCGAATAATCCATTAAAAGGTAAAAAACCTCTTACCAGTTTCGCCTTCATAGCTCCAGTCTAGTAGAAAAAGAGAAAACAAGAACATCTGATTAATAGGCAATTTCCGACGAGCTGCCCCGAGCCATGAGAACGGTTTCGCACTTAGCCTCGTTTTGAAAGTGGGAGACTTAAAGGTACTTGGATAGATGTCATGTCACGCAAAACACGCGTTACATTTTACTGTCGTCCTTCTGAGACGGTATGTTTTTGCGTTAGTAATCTCAGTCCGTTGCTTCGCATATATCAGACTAGTCAACACAACCTGCGATCAAGATCAAGATAAACCCTGCTTGAAAGCTGGTTACGTAACGTCAAATAAATGCCGAGTTGAACGATGTAAGGATGCCATACTTGCTTCCTTTAATAGTTCTTCATCTTGGCTCAATGCGCTCATGCGCCCACAGGTAACTAAAAAATCGAAAATTCTCTAGATTCCGTTGAACGTACCACTGAAATCTGACGATATTCAATGCCGTTATTTTTAAGAAATGAACGAACTAGATCTTGACAAAGTAGCTTTTCGCTAAAAACTGGAGGGGTTTGTTTTACTAAGGCCCAGTTCAGACGTCGTGCTTCTGCCGTGCCGAACTAAATTCAAGAATTAAGTTCGACAAAAGCACGGCAGAAGCATGGCGTCTGAATCAAACTTTTGAATTAAGTTCGCAAGCAATTAAGTTCGACAAGCGCTGCCGTGCTACACGGCTCTGGCACGGCAGCGATTCAAACGTCGTGCTTCTGCCGCGCTAAAGAAAATTCATAAAGTATATTAATGTATTTTGGCGAGATTGCGTTCCCACGGGGAGTTGGGAGAAGAATTGTTACGAGGCATCAGTAAATCCTGAATTTGGTTCGACTCTGGCACGACGTCTGAATCAAAATTGTTTTCCTCCCGTGCTACAGTCGAACCAAATTACAATTAAGTTCGGCAGGGCAGAAGCACGACGTCTGAATTGGGCTTTAAGGCCTGGCTCTCATGAGCCGAATCTGATGCAAATGAGTGAGAACAACAGAGTTATCTCATCAGCGTTATGTTCGGCCTATGTGAAGTGTAATGTTTTAACCGGGCATAAGGTGTTCAAAGTCTTTTAGTTGACTATTTTAATTTGATGTTGAAAAATGAGATTCTTTCAATTAGAAGCTCTTGTCCCTTAATTTATTCAGTGCAATAGCAGTGAGAGTGGGATAGGTTAAAACCAAATTCGGATTGAATACTTATTCTTGTTTTTTTTTAATCAGCGTGGAGTAAAATGATTACTTATACTAGTACAGCATACTTACCAGCACTGAAGGCAAGGGATGCACAGCTGATGATCAGAAACACACCTAGAAGAAAACTTTCCATCTTCGCCCTATTTCAGCGGGGATAGTCTAAAGTGTAACGGACACAAATTTCAGAAAGGAAAAAAAAAAAGAAACAATCAGTGAAACTGAAATCTAATCGAAATTTACTGACAGCTACTCTGTGAAAGTGAATTCTATTTGAACAGCTACCCTTATCTTACTGTTCTTTTCATTAATTTAATTTGTTCTGATTGCTTAAAAACGGAGCTAATTTGAATTTACAATATTTCCTTCTCCTCTCTTTGTCAGGAGCTGTTGTAATGAGAACTATTTGCTTTTGTCGGGTCACTGAGCAGTGCAAGTTATGTTACATGTTATGTTATGGTTTTTCCCCCTTTCCATCTTCTCCCGAAATATTTTTTAATTCTTGACACACAACCGTGCGTTTTCAGGTGGTAATATTCCCCGCTGTGGTTGGAGCCGGCTCACTTTCACCGCCTCGTTTGCAAGCATGTTCACCTGCTACATAATTCACGTGAAATGATTATCTTCCTTGGGGGAGTTTTAATAGATGAGGTGAAGTGTACCGCAGATATCTTTTGTCTACTTGGAAACAATGCTTAATATAGCCTGTTCACAGACCCTCTATTTTCTCTTCAAAGTCTGTCGAGCGTGAGTGATAAAATATAAACCGCAGGGGATTTTTTGACCGCCAGCGCAAGGTGGTAGTGGTGGGGAAGAAGAAAACAGACGACGCATGTTCGATGCCGAAATGATGGTCAGGGGTGGAAGCGGAATATTTTGATTTTAGTATTCTAAATTCAAACTGCCAATATTCAATATTGAAACATCAATATTCAATTTTTAAACCTCAATATTTAATATTCCAGCCTCAATATTCAATATTCAGACTTCCATATTTATGTTATTTTCATTATTTAAACAATTATGACCACCCTCATTACTCATTGCTTTTCTATAAGAGCCACGTCTGTTACTGCAGCCTACCAAGACACACTGCATTCCTTTGCAATAAGTAATACCTTATGGCAGAGGTCGTTCAGAAAATATCAAATTATAAACAAAACATGCTCCTAGTTAATAGCAATAGATTATTATCTGTTGGTAAACGTTGGTAACAAAATGGCTTGACCTGCAGTGGCGTAGCCAGGGGAGGGTTTTAGAGGTTCCGGAACCGCCCTTTGGGCTATTAAACTGGCTCTATTTCATTTCAAACAAACAAGAAACAAATTCAGAAAGGCATCACACACTATATCGAGGGTTACAATGTTATTATTTTAATGAATATCAGCAAGAGGTCTGCAAGACCGTACATTGCTAAGCTAGTACGCGAAACATGGTTGAAGGCCATGAAGAGCATGAAGTTTCCTTTCAGCCTGGGAGAGCCTGCCATGTGTTACGCCTGTACGTAGCACAACAACGGCTGTACTACAAAATTCTATCGAAAACCCTACCAACAAAACTGAGAGCAGTAGAAGCTTTGTCAAGTAAGCGGCTGTCTGAAAATCAGTTGAAGGAAATTACCTGGAACTCAGGGACACAGATAGCAATAGCAAGGTGAACAGCCCATTATAACGTGTGGTATTTAATCAGGCTTATTCATCGCTACCTACATTACCACAATGCCTTTTAATATTACAAGCCACTCATTCAGAGCCTACCGAAAACACACTCAAAAGTTGCCATGCCCAGCTAGCGATTGTTTGGACTTGCTTTATTTTTTGCCCTCCCCTCGTATCGCCCTCTGCACCCGTTTAGCGCTTTATGGACAAGCCTCGTTCAGCCTCGCTGGGCTCATAAAGCGCCTGTCATGCAGGCTTTTCTGATAAACATTCCTTACAGTAGGCTCTTGACGTTAGTTCAACAATCGACATTTTTGCACGGAAGCATACAAGGCGCCACCTTCTTATTGATAAGCTAGCCGAGTCAACAGTCCGTTAGAAGACCACAGTCTTTGATAAAGTACGTTATTTATTCAACAACTATTGACTGGTGCACTTTTAACCATCTCTACAGGAAGCGTGATTTGCAACCTCTCTCAGAAGTTCTAGATACATTTGGACTGACATTATTAGAAGTTTGTGGCCAGGATCAAGGAATCGCTATCTGAGGACATGCACCCTCACCCAGTGCCTCTCACAATAATACCATCTTAGGAACCCAGTATGCAAAATTGCTGGCAACGCCCCTGGACCTGGTTACAGACATTGGCCCAGTCTGATATGGTAGTAAAATGGCATCACAACTCAGATGATAGCACTGGCATCATTTTTAGACTAATATTATCGGTTCTCTACTTCAGTTTAATATCAAGTTGTGCAATTCATTATCTGCTATAGCATTTATTGTTTGCTGCCCAGTTTCAAGGCCAGATGATCTGTTTTCACGATTAAAGTTTGGATTTGTTGGTGCACATCAGTATTTTTCTCCAAACACCTTATTGAGCTATCTCCAATATTGAGCATTACAGCTGGACACATTGTGAAAACTAAAGTCCGGGTGATTTAAAACATAATAAAATCATCATTATTTTTTATCTTGTACACTAATATTACTTTGCAATGAAGAATAAGTATGTGAAAAAGAAATATAATTCACTGCCCTTGAAAAACTAACAAGGAGTTCGCAAGAACACAAATAAGTAGCCCAGCAAATCTTTTTGTTTGATAATAACAGCTTTTTGTAATGAAATGGTCACTAAAAACTACCCATGCAAACTAAGGAACTTAAAAGAAACTAAACATTCACTAGTCTTACATTGAAACCAAAAATTGCTATATATATTTATATATATCTTACAGATACAACATAAAACATTTATATAACATACAAATACAAAAGTATATTGCAAACAAGAAAATTATAAAGAATTATGCACAAATGAAATACAAATGGCCTGTAACAGCTGAAAAACAAACTTTTTAGTGTGACCAGCAACCCTAGCACACTTGTATACTTCATGTCCAGTATGATTCAATTTCATTCTTGGTTAAATTTATTAACTGTAGCCAGAATTAATCAAACTTGATTCAAAAAATACTTTCCTGTTTCCTTGTCTACAATATATGATATTAAGAGAGAGGATATAATGCTAGAAATATTATACAGTAGTACAATCAAAAGATAAGGCACCTCCAGGAAATCGAGTTGGTCCCTACTATTCTTCAGTCATTTTCTCTTACTTTCTGTAAGAGTTACACCTGTCCATTAATACAGACATTTTGTGCCAGTCCCAATAGTTTCCATCTGAGAGCTGACTGTAGTTTGTGCAACACCACACTTATGCCTCTGACGACAAAAATACAATGTTACACAGTCTTAATTTATTCTACTTGCAATCAAATTAAGACCTCTTCATGTTCTTCGTCATATTCACGGTATTATGAACTCGTTTATCTTTCAGTGTGTGCTCTAGTAGTCTTTTCCGGTCAGGCCGGGGACTCACTGTTGTCCTGCAAAAAATCATTATCATAACAAATAAACACATTCTATGATTAAATTTTACAGTGGAATCTTTGTAGGGATTTGAAAGCAAATTTCTCCATAGGCTTCATTCTGTTTCCGTGCAATACAACCTTTAGTGAAGCAGAATTTGTTCTTGTTGTTGTCTATGTAAAGACTGTCACACGAGATCATTCGAATGCAATTTTCTAGTAGAACTTTAAAAATAGTCAGAACCTTCCTGGATCGCGGTTCTGCAACTAAAAAAAATTATTTACATCTTAGTGTATATTAAAAAAAAGAAAAATCGCTAAATTGGGCACCTGAAATCTTTTATCTTACTAACAAGCTAAACGCCAACGTACAAAACAAAAACCTTGCTATCGCCATTATGAAGTCGTCACTTCAGAAGTAAAAAAAACCTTAAAGGTTCATAAAAGTTCACTCTTAAAATTTACATGCACAAACAAAATTATAAAACCATTACATATTTTTTCTGTAGCCGTTTATTGTCATTTGGTTTTGACTGGCAAGATAAAACGCGACCTTCAACCTGTAATATTCGATAGGCCATTATGACACTACATAAACACAAAAGGCGAAAAAACACCTTAACTTATAAGACTAACTGTAAAATATCACCTAAATACTTTCTGTATATCGCATAGAAATACGCCAAATATCAAATCTAATTATAAATTGCAGCGATCTCAAGATATAAAACAATAAATCCGAACCTACCTCCAGTTAGACGGCTTCATTTTTCTTGCCCTGACAGCGGATCGAGAGCGGAAAGGCCGACTAGTTCGAGTCCTACTCCGCATGACAGAGCGCGTATGAGCGTTTCAACGCCCTGTCTTCTTACGCCCTGATCGAGAATGGCCTAATTCAGTGCGGATGTCGAGTATCCTCGACACGCGCTTTCAGAATTGAAGTCTAATAAGGGATATATTTGTTACAATATGCGTGTCGCTATATGTAGATGCTATTGATTGTACTTCGTTGTAATAAACAGGGACACCCAACGTCAATTTTCGGAAAATATCTGCTCGGTAGACAATTTAGGCAGATCTAGAATTTCTTGTTTGCCTGCCTCTCCTAGGATTTTCGAACATCTAAAAACTGGTATAATTGCCCATTTTTAACGGATTTTTACCCTAAAAAGCTCACCTAGAATTTTCGGGAGCCGTTTTTCTAGATGAAATTTTCGAAAAGGTAAGTTTTGGTACCTATAATTTTCGGATCACTAGACTTTCAGCTAGGAAATCCGTAGAGATGAACAATTTTTAGGGGATCAAAACACGTGAAAATATGCCTGTATTTACCGTTTATAAAATACGTTTAACAATGCTATGTTAAAGTGGTTTTGAACTATATTCTCGTTGGGTGCCCCTGTATAAATCGAACATGAAACATTGTAGCAGCGAAATGGGATGTTTCAGAGCATTTGAACCTGCAAGCTAAATCTGCCTACCGTTGACAGAGCCCACTGGACGTACACAACTCTTTGATGTCCGATACGGAGCCTGAAGTTCCAAGCGGAACAGCGCCTTTGAATTCAACTGCTGCGACTAACGCGATGGCTATGTTGACTCCTGGCCAAGAGGGAGGAGGCGTCTCTATTCTTGGTTTTCACATGACGTCACCAAAATTCAAACAAAGAAACTATCGCTTCTTCTGAGTTTCTACTTTCATGTGATTTTAGAGCACCTTAAAACCTTTATACAAACAAATTTTCGGTTCAATAGGGTTCTTTGTTTTGCTATACAGGACGCTTGAATTTCTGTCTCGATATTGCATGGTTGCTTAGTAACGCTAGCGACATGCGCATTAGGGCTCGAAGGTTCTTACCATGTGTTCTTGCCAAATTGCGGACCCTGTACATCACGTTTGTTTGTTATAATTGATTAAATCCTGTTGAAATTTCAAGACAATTTCCAGGCTTTTGGGTGACGGGGCATTTGGCTGGCGGCCCGGGAAAGTTCTTAAGTGGATTAAAAACATTACGGATTTTTGGAGATTTTGCTATCTAAACATTCCTTGTCTCAGAATAAATATGAGTTCCTCAAGCGAAGAATTCACGCATAAGTAGGAAAACTCAAAAAGAGATGTTTCTGTCGGTTTCTGGCGGCCATATTTGTGCCCCTGAAAGGGACACAAAAATGGCGTCAAAGCTTTATAAATTTTGGAAAACGTTTTTCCGAATATCTTGCATATGAACTGTTGCATAGACCTGATTCTTGGCAAGGCTTTTTGTATATTTATCTTCTTTTATTTCCCATATTCTAGACTTTCTGTACTAAAAGCTTTCCATTTTTATTTCTGCTTTCTCACGTGAGTGTAAACTGAGAATTGTTTTCTGGTATTTGTCTGTGACCGAGTCATCGATGAAAGTGTGACGTCACATAGCAACGAGTCAGAACATCGCGTCGCTTGATCAGTTTAGCGTGGAGAAGCCATCGAAGTTAAACAAAGAAAGGGCTAATACAGGACTTTAACGCCATTTTGTTTTACAAACGCTGAACGAAAGCCTGTATTAGCCCTTTCTTTGTAGTCAAAATGGCCTATCGAATATTACAGGTTGAAGGTCGCGTTTTATCTTGCCAGCCAAAACCAAATGAAAATAAAAGGATACAAAAAAAATATGGAATGGTTTTATAAATTTTGTTTGTGCATGCACAGGTAGCCCAAGCTCACTATGAGAGCCCTGAACAACATTATCCTACTTAGCTAATTAATTATTCATACAGAAAGAAAATTATAAGACGTTGTATGGAGAAATATTCTTCGCTCACTAAATTAGCAAAATGTACATTGAATATCGCTTTGAAGCTTACCTTTAGCGTCTTCTTGTTTCTCTTTGTATTCTGACTGCATTTCAGACCTCCTAGGCACTGTTTAAGGCCTTTTTTGGAGCGACAGTTTTTCACCCAGATGACAGTGGAGAGGAGAGAAGAGCTCTTCTCTTCTCTCTGAGAAAGCTCCCCGACGCACGCGAGAAAAAACCTCTGGTACCCAGGGTAGGGAAACATGCGTTTCCGACATGAAAATTGTTCATAAAATTCGCAGTGAGCGTTTTTAAAATGTTTTTGAGCTTAATTCCCGATATAAAAGCATACTGCTATATGAATGGTTAAAATCAGAAAATAAAGCGACTTGATCATACCCTGGGTACCAGAGGTTTTTCTCGCGTGCGGCGGGGAATTTTCGGTGTTGGCGAAGCCGCGAGAAAAACCTCTGGCACTGAGCGGTTCTTTTTTACCGTCCCCGTTGACCTTTGACCTTTTTATCGGGTTACATTTACACGAATCAGATNAGGAAAAATGGGGGACTACTCGTAGTCTAAGAGGAGAGAAGAGCTCTTCTCTTCTCTCTGAGAAAGCTCCCCGACGCACGCGAGAAAAAACCTCTGGTACCCAGGGTAGGGAAACATGCGTTTCCGACATGAAAATTGTTCATAAAATTCGCAGTGAGCGTTTTTAAAATGTTTTTGAGCTTAATTCCCGATATAAAAGCATACTGCTATATGAATGGTTAAAATCAGAAAATAAAGCGACTTGATCATACCCTGGGTACCAGAGGTTTTTCTCGCGTGCGGCGGGGAATTTTCGGTGTTGGCGAAGCCGCGAGAAAAACCTCTGGCACTGAGCGGTTCTTTTTTACCGTCCCCGTTGACCTTTGACCTTTTTATCGGGTTACATTTACACGAATCAGATAGAAAGTCTCCAACTGTGATGACTTGGTCCGGCAAGTGAAGAAATGAGCTTTAAGAGCAATCATGACTGAGTCACATTGCAATTCTCCATGGTTGATATAGCTTCGGTTTAAGCTACAATCCATTCTTCGAGATTTGGATCTGAAAATCACTATCCGTTAGAATTTAACAGCGTGACAAAATATTGCAGGAAACCGTCACATTCACGGACAAAAAGAAAATTGCTTAAATTATTCAGATCCAGGAGGCACTTTGCAGAAATTAAACAAACTTAAACCCTTATTTAGCCGCAATGAAGAGCTTAACATTTGTGAGATGCTCGTGAGCCGGAATCATGTGTCAAGGTCCTTGTTACAATACTCTGTTTTAGTTCCTCATGTCTTCAGCCTCTCCCCCCGCCTCGCCTCCTCCAAAAAAATGGTATTTTCTTTTTTCCTGGCAGGCAAGTATTCAAATAATGATCCAAACTCGAAAATCAATATTGAAAAATTGTTGAACTCTTGTAATCGTAGTTTCCCTTTCATTACGTGGCGCCTGTTGTTCTTCGTGTCTGAGACGATAGCCTGAAAAAATGAAGAGCAACTACCAAAAGCAATTGAAAAGTTCCAAGTTTCCGGTTATTTGCTGCGAAAAGGGCTTGAGCGGGAAATCTTTAGTAAAGAACTTCAGTGATAACATAATTTGAGAAGACCAAATAACAGGGCAAATAAAAGTTTGTAAAGCTTTCTGGGTACTCTTAGTGCGCACTTCTGAACCAAATCAACAAACCCTTATTCGACAGAGATAAAGTCATGGATAGCAATAGCAAACAATCCTTTATTTCAAAACAAAATATTTAAAATGCACACACAGTCTATGCCCTAAAAGTTACACTCGCGTCTATTTCCTATTGTCCCACGAGTAATGAAAAACATGCAGCCTGAGTACTCCGTTTAATTCTAAAAGTGTATTTAAGCAAAGAGCCTAATTTTCTGAAGGCTTGTCTCTGAGGCCCTTTCTCATGCTGGTTTCCCACAATGTTCTAAGACTCCGCAGCTGGCGCTGACTATATCCCATCAAAGGAAGGCGTAGAGAATTTTGACTTATTCGCGGCTGGTCACCCATCCAGTTTCTAACCCCGCCCTTAAGGAGATAACTTGGGCGGTCCTCAGCTGTTTATCATCCTCAAGTTTACACGAGGCTTTGCGAGACACATATTTAATAATACGCTAAACCAGCTCTCTTAAAGGGAGGTCTGAAGTATAAAATAGCGTATGAAGGGTTGGACATCTTGACTTACTTTGAAAAAGACGCTAGAGATAATTCAGAAATGACCTATTGTGTTGACCTGTTGGGTTGAATGTTTTTCATGTTCGAGTGATGACTGAAGCTTCATGTTTCCCATAGCTCATGTTCCCTTCTTTAGATGATCAAAACAAGACCGCTTAGCTGACTCAAAAGTACCCTAAGAATTTAAACTACTGCAAAGCGAAGAGGACCAACAACATTGACAAAAACAGGCCAGCGGTCATCCTGCTGACAGATGCGCCTCCTGTTGGCATGATAGTGGAGCCAGCAGCTGGCGGCGGAGTAGTTGCAACAGAAGTGGCTTTGAAACTAGCCTTGACGGTTCGGCCATTGAGTGGCGTTGGTGGACGATAATTTTCCGTGAGCAGTTTACCGTCCTTCTGTTTGAGTTTACGAAGGAGATCAATCTGAAAGGAGAAATCAATGTTAACTGAAAGTTCCCGTGCTCTCACTAAAACGGGAAAAAAAGTGTTTCGTTTACAACTTTGATAGAGAACTAGCATTAATTATCAACAAGGCAAAGCTCATAGCTTGATTCCAGTAAAACTACTCGGCTTCTCAGGGCTGTTACAATCAAAAGCAAATAGGACATCGCTTCCAACAGGAAATGATATGGGATGGTATTGTGAGTAGTTCCAGTAGCAGGTTTATGGTCAGTTATATGCTTCTGGTAGTTCTTAGATACTAGTAATACGCGCTCTAAGAAATCTAGCCGGCTCGCAGTTACTGAATGGAGTGGAAATTTTTGAAAAGATCATACATATAGTCTTCATCTGCTGGTAGGGGAAGCCGTGCCGCTTGCACAGCGTGCAAACTGAACTGTTAGATTGCAAATAACCTCGTTTGTCAGTGTCATCCTATAGAACGTTTTCAATTACGTGGCCAGCATTTCTGATAATTTATCGGAACAAAAGAAGACGTTTTCATAAGAAAAGTTCAACTCCCAGAGGATTTTCTTGTTACACTAACATGGCCGCGATTTCATTGTTTTGGAACACCAATGTGGCCGCCGCGGCGTCAAGTAGAAACGCTCCTTCAGTTAGTGAACGCCGGGAATCAGTTGCGTGCCAAGCTAATTTTTGGCGTTTCTATTGAGCGTGTACGAAACGAGAACTTGCGTGTACGTTGTCATACCCTGCGGACTTAAAGGCTGGCGAGCTTAAAGACAGGTTGGGAATGCTGAGGCGGCCGAAGACGTCTCCCCACCCTCCCTTCCCCTTACCCTGGAAAGGCCATCACGCAAGCCTAAGTTGTTTACTGTACCTGACGCTGGGATATTTTGACAGTATTCTTGAAAACAGTCCAGGTGACAACCTCATTGCACGTAGGGGTGGTAAGAGAGCCGTCGTAGCGGTAGTAGTCGGTCTTCGAGGCTGGCAGCAGGTTGTTAAAGACTGCAAATTTTGAGGCTGGTACAACAACAGATGTATTGACTGGGAAAGCAAATCACACAAAGAGATTCGATCAAAAACACGAGGTCACAAATTCTCGACTGAAATTGAGTATAGGTTCAAACTCTTGTGGTTTGAAATCGGGCAAGGTTCTTTTTCTTTAGACAGGGTGTAGTCAATGTGTGGAATTGGGTATCGGCGCCTGTAAGGGAATCCAAGACAGTCTTGGATTCTGGATTTCAGGAGCTGAATTCTAGTCTTTGTCAGTAGAACTTGGATTATGGATTCCGGACTCCTTGAGCTGTATTCCGGATTCTAAAGTCCAGGATTCCAGATTTTACAAGTAATAATATTCCAGAACCCGGATTCCTTTGCACGAGGCAGTGGGTATGGTTATCTTAAGAACATTACAGTATGAAGTTTGAAGGCCAGTTTGGGTGACATTGGCGTTGTGTAGTGATTACAAATTTTACGCGAACCAAAGATAAGTTTCGGATCAAGTCTTAAGTGTACGTGATGCAGTGGTGTAGTCTGGAATAGTGTAAAGAGTTAACTTTTGGTTCATGCGATCAGGTCTTAAACATTTTTGGGAAAAATTATTATTGGTCTGAAACAGGGTTGAGGTAAATTTCTCGAGAAACAGTCATGGGTAGCAGCAGTACGAAAACTTACAGGTAGTAACGTTTGCGGCATAGTCCAAAAACGACCACGCAGAGTTATCGTCTCCTCCAACCTGAAACAGATGTAAAGGGAAAAAAATCGCTGAAAAGTGACAAACGGCGATATCATGTGGAATTGTGAATGGCAAATTTTCTCGCTTAGAAGATAATAATCAATTTTCTGTTTAAACTTCGATGATCCAAGTAATGGTAATACTGGCCTTTTCCTGCCACTTTCGCTGTGGTTACCTATCTAGTTACCTCTAATCCGCCATCCTCCAGAAATCCCCCAGTCTTCTGAGTGAATTCACTGGTTTCGTGTGGACGAAAGGTCCATTTGTGTAAAAAAAAATGCGGTTTCAAAAACATCTAGATTCGTGTGGACGTGGCCTTAGTCAAGCGGCAATTCAAACGTTTTACGTTGCCCTGTGGCACGTTACTTTGTCGCGTTATAATTTTACAATTTTTGCGGTTTTCTGCGCGATAGGCACAATAAATAAATAAATAAGGGAAAGTCTAATCAGCGAACTATCAAATTTTCTAGTTCACAAACATCGCCATTTAGAGCATGAAACAGACTGCACAAGGGCAGAACAATTTTACCCGTAATTGGATTAAATACTTAGAACGACATCAGTATCTCATTTTTAAATGATACCCTTCCGTCTATATTCACCTGAGTTGTAATAAACGAAAAAATTTTGAATGCAAATTCTTAGAATCGCAGCAGTTGATTCCCAGTAAGAAAATCCAGAGTGGACCCATCGCCGAAAAATTGTTTCGAGTTGAATTTGTATAGCCTTGATGTCCCCTCGTCGTGCCTAAAAAACCATTTAAGTAAAATGTTACCTCCATAAAGACACCAAGAACGGCAAGACCATCTGACGGTGTGAGTGCTTCTTTAAGAGTGGAATATTTTGTATTCATGCTTACAAAGTGCATCTGAACAGAAAGACCAAAAAAAGGCAAATTTAACAAACATGAACAGGGGGATTCTCAAGAGAGTTTTTTTATGGGGAGCCTGTACCACCTAGGTCGAACCCCTCACCCTTTTGTAAAGCATTTTTGACAGAAAAGGTTCCCATACCTTCTATTGAAAAATCAGAGGTACTCCAATCACACACCTAGTTTAAAACATTGCATCCCTTTTAACTGCTGTAAATGCACTTTCCGTTAAATATGAATCAATCAGAAAACCAGGAAGTGTTCTTGTCTTTCTCACATCCATAAAATGCGCCTATTAGTCCTTTTAAGTCTTTTTCACAGACCGCAATGACAGATTTCCCTCAGCCTGCGTAGCAAGCGTTTGCATTTGGTGTCGGAGCAAAGAAAGACCGGTTTTGGCCGCGCGAGAAATGAAATGAGAGCCAAAAAATGAAAGAGGGGGGAGGGGAAGGAAGGAAACTTCCTTTCTTCCCCACCCCCCCTCCGCTCTTTTACTTGTGCCATTTTTCCCGAGGTCTTTGACTCTCGTTCCTCGTTCTTTGCTCCTAAACCGCACCGAAACGCTTGCTACGCAGGCTAGATTTCCCTACCCTTTCATATACTTCAACTAGTAAAACTCCTACCCTTTCAAAAAGCTGACGCCTGAAAAAGATACCGCTTTTGGGCAGAGCTGATAACAGCTTTCGCGCATCTGACCCCGCTAGGCGAGCCTTAGTGTTATATGAGCAAAATCGGCCAGGCTAAGAGGGTGACCCTACCAACGAAAAAGGGTGGCCCGGGAAGGAGGGTGATCCGGCGAGGTGATCACATCTTCTACCCGAGCCAACGTTTTCTTTCTCATGTAAACGGTACAAGGTTTCGTGCACCTCTCACCTCAGCTGGATAAGCCTTTCCGTCCATCTCGTGTTCAGACCCTGCGTTTTCATCTGGTCCCCAGTGGAGGTGGAACTGAACGGTTTTATAGCTACCGTCAAGACCTCCTCCGCTTACAGCGTAATCACCGCCACCCAATGACACTACCATGCCGTGCCCATTGTTTGCAACGGTGAAATCGAGGGTTAATTGTTTGTCGTAATTCTTTAACTCAAATTTACCCAAGGCTTCGTCATAAACAGCTTCACTGCTTTTGATGTCGATTGGAGATTGCCTCGTTCCATTCTTGCAGACCCCCGTCCAATTAGCAGGGCCTAGAACGTACAAAAGTATTCGAGGGTATTTGAAGCTCTTGAAAATAAACTGGTAAAAACTAAATTGCACGGCAAAGTGCACTGCTGAAATCAAAATTGACTACTGTTCCTTTGGTCTTTGCTGACTGTGACGTCAGACGGTGACAGTGCAATATTATTTGCTAATGTTGACAACTGATTAAACGTGACTTAAGCGAAATGCAAGCGTCAATGGAGTCTTTTCTAAGCTCCAGTGTGTATAGCGATTTGATTCAAAACCCGGAAAAAAATGTTGAGAGCCTTGTCCTAACTAGTTACATTAGCCTGCGAACAAGCTCCTAAGTGCAGCTGGGCGGAAAAGAAAATCGACGAGCAAAGCGATGCGAGCGTGGCCTGAGGAAGAAAAAAAGGCACCTAACCCGCCTTTTTTCTCTCCCAGGTCGAGCTCCACTTGGGAGCCTGTTTGCAGGCTAAGTAACATGAAAAATGGAAGGTAAATTTATTAAAAGGTAAAGAACTTCTTACCATTAGGGCTTTCATAGCTCCAGGCTAGTAAAGAAAAAGAGAAAACAAGAACATCTGATTAATAGGCAATTTCCGAGCTGCCCCTAGTCTGCTACACAGCCGTTTTTAGTGTCGTCACGCAACGCCCCTGTAACAGACTAAGCTGCCCCAAGCCATGAGAACGGTTTAGCACTTAGCCTCGTTTTCAAAGTGAGAGATTTCGGAATTCAGAGGGATCCCAGGGACTTAAAGATAGATGTCATGTCAAGCAAAACACGCGTGACATTTTACCGTCGTCCTTCTGGGACGGTATGTTTTCGCGTACTAATAATCTCAGTCCGTTGCTTCGCATATATCAGACTAGTCAACACAATTTGCGATCAAGATTCTTATAAGCCCTGCTTGGAAGCTGGTTACGTAACGTCAAATAAGTGCTGAATAATGTGAGGATGCCATGCTTGCTTCCTTAGCTCTTCATCTTGGCTCAATGCGCTCATGCGCCCACAGATAACTAAAAAAACCTTTGATTATTTCAATTGGAATCCGTTGAATCTACCAGTGAAATCTGACGATATTCAATGCCGTTATTTTTAAGAACTAGATCTTGAGTAAGTAGATTTTCACCAAAAAACTGAAGGGGTTTGTTTCACTAAAGCCTGTCTCTCATGAGCCGAATCTAATGCAAATGAGTGAGAACAACATAGTAACCTCATTAGCGTCAAGTTCGGCGTATGTGAAATGCATGTTTGAACCGGGCATAAGATGTTCAAAGTCTTTTAGTTGACTATTTTGATGTTGAAAAATAAGATTCTCTCAACTAGAAGCTCTTGTCCCTTAATTTAGTGCAATAGCAGTGAGAGTGGGATAGGTTATAACCAAATTCGGATTGAATTTTTATTCTTGTTTTTTTTTTTTTTAATCAGCGTGGAGTAAAATGAATACGTATACTAGTACAGCATACTTACAAGCACTGAAAGCAAGTGATGCACAGCTGATGATCAGAAACACAACCAGGAGAAAACTTTCCAT